TAGATTCAGGGAGGTTTGTGTCACTTAACTAAAACCACCAGGACTCAATCTTTGTTCATAAGGTTTTCCTGTCCCAATATTTCTAACTGATAAAGAAAGATTCTCAGATATTGGTTTACTAGGTTTTTCAATGTAGGTTTGCCCCAGATGAAACTCCAAGGCAACTCTGTGTTTGAAAGTAGTGCATTTTGAATGCCCAAGTGAGAAACTTGGAGAAAYGACAYGGGTAAAGAAGAAAAGCCAATAATAAAAGATGTTTTAATATGGGAGTTACCCCTGTAGGCAACAAGAGGCTGAATCTCTCAATGGTCTCTGTAAGAAACTATGTGCAACATACTCAGAATTAGCCTACAGAGATTAGTACCCAAGGCATCGATGTACTTATTAGTATCTCCTCTACTTGAGGGAAATTCCATTATCTCTCAAAGCCTTTCTTATATATGGTGGGTTTATTAATTCCAGCATGCCTCCAAGAAATGCCTCTGAACAGGACAATAAGAAGAKAGATGGGACACTTGATGTGTAAATTTGTCAGTGACTGAAGATTGTTTCTTTCTACTACCAGAGATCTCAAGTAGGGTGAGGCATAAGATATAGGGCATCAGCAGCATCTACTACACTGGATTTATCAAGTCTCCATTTCAGTATATTTTTCTTGTGAATATGTGCAATTTATTTTTGATTGTTTCTCTGTTTTTTTTCCCTCTCTATAGGTCATAAGGTATGCAGGTACCAAAGATGAGCTATACTTCCAAAGCATTTACCAACCTCTATGTCATAGTTCTCTAAACAACAAACCATGGGGGACATTCTGCATTTAGGATCAGCTGAAAGATCTATTTTTCCTTGGAAAGAAAGGATAATGAAGCTAAAAAAAGGCTTGAACTGTGGAAGAAAATGTGCCACTGTAGCAGCTTCACTCTGAGAGTGACCTAATTGACTGTGTTTTGGCGCTCTATAGTTTTGAAAATTCCTTTCTTTCCACTCCAAATTCAAGCATTCGTTTTGTTTTCMATTTCTTTCTCATTTTACTTGTAATACATCAACCTAGAAATATTTCTGACCTTTCCTGTATTCTTTTTTTGTATCTTATTAGTTAAGAATTCAGGGCTGGGATGTGGCTCAAGTGGTAACATGCTCAGCTGGCAAGTGCGGGGCGCTGTGTTTGATCCTCAGCACAAAATAAAAATAAATAAAATAAAGATGCCGTGTCCACAGAAAACTGAAAAATAAATATTAAAAAATTCTCTCTCTCTCTCTCTCTCTCTCTCTCCCTATTTTTTTTAAAGAATTCAAAGGATGGAAGGGAAGAAGGGAGGAACAAAGGAAGGAATGAAAGATGGAAGGAAAAATTATATACATGTTACAATGTAGTTTACAGTTCTTCACCAAGCAGTTTCACCTCAACGCACAAAATGTTTTCCACCTCTCTTTAGATTCACCCAGTACATATTTCCAAATCTGATTAGCATTTTTCCTATTTGAATAGATTAAGAAATTTAATTAACATTTTTTCACTTACATAATTCACATAGCTTAAGTTAAAAGCTGAGATCATCATGTGCCAAACCAATCACACYCCCTTATTCTACACTAAGTATCTTTCTTACATGTTTTGTCTGGCTGAATCATATCACCATCTACCCAAAGTCTGAATGAAAACTTGTAGTCAATTGGAACAATTCATTGCCACTTATTTTTTTTTATATCTAATCAATCTTTAATTCTCTCCTGCCTGAATAAAATCTTTTCCCAAATCCACACAATAGGTTTAAGACTACAGGATAAGTTTTGACTCAACTAATCTAAACTTTGGAAATTCCATTGTCTCTCAAAGTCTTTCTTAAAGGTTTGCTGGTATTGCCATTTAGTGTCTCATATATATTCAAGAATTTGTCACACTTTTAATGTCTGTTATTAGCTTCTCTCATCTCCACTCCCAATTTTAGGGAAGTATAATTCACAAAAATTATATATATTTACATTGTATGTTTCAATATACACCATGAAATGATTACCACAATCTAGTAAAGTTTCCTCTCATATTATTTTTATGATAGAAATACTTAGCATTTTCCCTCTTGAAACTGTGAATATACAATATACTATTATTAATTATAGTCAGCATGCTTYAGGTTAGATTCCCAGAACTGATCATCCTGCAAACTTTGTACCATTTGGTCAATATATTCTGATTTCCCTCACTCTCAGTCCCCATAAACTCCATTTCATTCTCTACAGATTTAATTTTTCAGACTCCACATATAAGTAAGATTATGCAGTAATTATCTTTCTATGTCTGGCTTATTTCACTTAGCATAATAATCTTTAGGCTTACCCATGTTGGTGCAAATGAAATAATTTTCTTTATATCTGTGTGTGATATATGATATACATATACATTACATATATGACTATATATATATATATATATATATATATATTTTTTTTTTTTTCCCTCACATTTTTTTTTTTATCCATCCATTGTCATTGAAAGGCAGGGTTACTGAGTCATATGATAGTTCTATTTTTAAATTTTAATTTTTAAAAAGAAGTTCCATGCTGTTTTCCAAGTGGCTTTACAAGTTTAAAATATTSCAACAAAGTGCAATTTTTTCTTTCACCTACTTCTCTGACAACATTTGTTAATTTTCATGTATATYTTAATAATAGGCTATTTTACAGGTGTGAGGTGATATCTCATTATGGTTTTTATTTTTATTTTCTTGATGATTATTCCCAGTGAGAAGTTTTTAAAATATAGGGTGGCCATTTATTTGAGTATCATCTTTTGAGTAATGTTTGTTCAYATTTTTTCACTCATTTTTTGTTATTTGTTTTATTGATATCTATCTTATATAATATTATTATTTATTAAAGATGCATATTTTCAAATACTTTCTCCCATCACATAGGTTGTCTTTCACTCTGTTGCTTTTTCTTTTTCTCCATTCAGAAGAATTTTAGTTTGATGCAATCACTTTTGTCTGTTTTGGCTTTTTGTTGCCTGTGTTTTTTGAAATCATATTCCAAAATGTCATTGATATTAAGTCTATAGATTGTTTTAGATAGAATATAAATTATTCTAATCGATGGACTATCTATTTACCTGTTTGTTTCTAGTTAATTTTCTTTCATTAATATTTTATATTTTTTACTTTCATGTGTTTCACCTCCTTTGTTAAGTTTATCCTTACATATATTTTTGTTGTTGTAGATGAAGTATTTTCTTAATATCTCTTTCACATAGTTAGCATGTAGTTAAAATATAGAAATACAACTGATTTAAGTATGTTGATTTTGCATCCTGAGTCCATATATTAGTTCTACCAGTTTTATGATGGAATCATTAGATTATTTTACATACAAGATCATGTCATCTTTMCATGATCTTATATCCAATAGGAATCCCCTTATTTCTTTCTCTTCACTGAGTTCTCTTGTTTGAACTTTCAGAATTACATTTAATAAAAGTGGTGAAAGTGATCTTCTTTGTCTTATTCTAGATTTTACTGAGAAAGTTTTTAACTTTTTGCCTTTCAGTGTAATGTTAGCTACTGGATTATTAAAAATGGCCTTTATATGTTGAGATATATTTCTTCTATACCTAATATTTTCAGCAGTTTTATAAGGATAAGATATTGAATCTTATTGAATGCCTTTTCTCTATCTATTGAGATGATGATATGATTTTCTTTCATTGCATAGAAAGAAACCCTGGGATGAATCCCCTGGGTCATGGTTCATAGTTTTTTAAATACACTGTTGGATTTGRTTTGCTAGTGTGTTGTTCCTCAACATCCATATTTGGCATCCACCTTTATCAAAGATATTGACCAGCAGTTTTGTTTTGCCTTATCTGGTTCTAGTTTTAGAGTAAAGATGGTCTAATATAAAGTCTTTAGAATAATTTTTTCCTATTAYTATTTTTTTWAAATAATTTAAGGTGAAATGGTATTAGTTCTGTTTTGAGTGTGTGCTGTAATTCAGAAGTGAAATAATTTGGTCCAGCACTTTCATTGATGCATTGATAGGCAGATTTTAATTATTTATTTAATATTGTTACTTGTTATTCATCTATTTCCTCCCTTCTGATTCAGTCTTGGTGATTAGTATGTCTAGGAATTTATCCATTTTTTTAGTTATGAAATTTGTTAGCACATTGTTGTTTGTAATAATTTCAAAAGTTCTTCTCCATTCTGTGGTGTCAGTTGTAATATCTCCCATTTCACATCTGATTTTTTAAAAACTTGTGTCTCCTCTCTCTATTTCTTAATCAAGGTAGAAAGAAGAACCAGGTCTTTGTTTCATCAATTTTTTTGTATTGTTTTCTTTCTCTCCATTTCAMTTATTTCTTCTATGATCTTTAGTATTTCTCCAACAAATTTTAGGCTTGATTTGTTCTTATTTTTCTAAAATGCTCAGGACTTCAAAATCAGTAAGAATTGTTTTGGAGAAGATCATAAAGGCACAAGAGCAAAAATAGACAAATAGAATAGTATCAAACTAAAAAGTTTCTGCACCACAAAGGAAACAATCAAGAGTGCAGAGACAAAAAATGAATGGAAGAAAGGATTTTCAAACTCTATGTCTCATAAGTCTTTATGTACAGAATATACAAGGAAGCAC